TATATTAATTAAATAAATTAATATTCTAGCTATTAGACCAATTTAAAATAAAGTCCTTTAAAGACTACAAGCCCTCTGCTGTTTGCATTCATCAAAACAGTTTAGAAAGGCATCTTGAGCTTGCAAAATGTACACTTTTTAAAATAAGAAACCTGCTACCTCATTTTGCCAGGACCTGCTCATAGGTGTTAATATTGTTGAAGTAGTACACCCGAAAGCAGCAAACCTTCAAAAGTAACCTCCCAGTGACAAGTACTTTAACTGAAACTTCACAAAAACTTGTCCTTACCAAGTAAGATTCAAAGAATCAGAAAAGAAGAAAATACCCACCTGAGCAGCAATAAACTGTTTTAGCCCTTCAACTGTCATGCCTCTTCTTAGGACACCACGCACTGTGGGAAATCTTGGGTCATCCCTAGTATAAAAAGATGCTTTGTCAGTATCACACACTAAGTTCTACCTATTAGTCAGACTGATCAAAAACTTTACTAACACTGCCAGATGTGAAAGGCCCAGCTTCGGTTTATTTCACTTGTGTGAATTAAGAGCTAGATGAGAAGATCTAACTGAAAAGACTCTGCTTTTATCTATACAAAATGTGTGGTGAAGATTTTCTTCTACCTCACCCCAGGGAGGGAAGCCATCTCTTGGTGAAGTGGCTCTTCTCCTGCATCCATCCGATCTTAAGTCTCTCAAAAACTAGCAAGGCAAAAGTCACGTCCCTATCGCATTACTTCCTTCTCAATGTCACCTGAATAACAGAATCTGGAACAACAGGGCTTGGTTCTCTTCTTGCTCAAGAGAAACCAGAAAGATATGAGTGACAATGACAATGTTATCTCTCAATGACATAAGTAATAGAATTCTATGATTTTATTCTTTGATGCAAGAAATAAAAAGGCCTAATCTGAAATGTAAAATATGTGCTGGTGGGAACACAAATCAAACCTTGCTGAGGACCTAACAGATGCTTAGAGAGGGAGAGATCACCATAAGACCAGCTATATCTCTAGGAGAAAAAAAAAAAAAAAAAAAAGAAAAAAAAAGAGTTCCACGCATAAGCTACAAATCTAAGCTTCCAACATAACAGAAAAATAAAACCAACAAAACCAAAGCACACTTGGCACACATTAGCAAGACAACCACGCAGCCTAGGAACTTGTGTAAAATGATGCTCCCATAGGCTGAGCACAGAATCATCTGAAACCAGGCCAGGAAAAACACTACAAGAAGTTGTCTGTCCACGGATTTCTCCAGACTCCTGTACTATGACGAGAGGACTTCAGACGGTGTGGTCCCACAGCTAGCCTATTGTGAGAATGAACACAAAGGAGCCTCTCTAGACTCCAAACTACTTGCAGAATTGTAAACCCATAGCTCACCTTTTCTAGGAAAATACTTAGGCTACTAGGCCACCCAGCACCATCTGCAGAAATCCAGTTAACATGAAAAAAAGAACAGAAAGAAGCAGGGGGGGGGGCAGGCAGGAGGGAAGTAAGACAGATCTGACTAGATGGATAGGACCAGAAATTCTTCAATTCAGGCCCGCTTCTAGCATTGCTCAGGAATGTATCCAATGACTCAGAGTGGAAAATGTGTAAGTAGCACCCGTAGCAAGAGCCAGAGTCCAAAAATAAGCTACCTCATGCTTATTACAGGATATGAATACGTATGTACTCAGTTACTGTAGAGTAGTAAATAGACATGTTGTACATACAGAAGCCACCCTAATTAATCTATGTTCTTAAATATTGTTTAAATATTCATTTGCGTTGCTTTGAAGTCTAAGCACTTTCTCAAACAGAGAACGTCTGCATCAGCCACGATTATCTTATGGAAAAATGAACTCCAACCATGTAACGTACCATCCATCCACAAGCCCTTCGTTTACAAACCAGGTAAGCTTTCTCTTAGAGAGCACAGTGTTGTTGAGGTTTAGCCGGCTATACTCCCATATATACGGTTTCCTTATGCCCAGTGCCTCAATGATCCAATAGAATTGTTCATCTCTGTCATGGTATTCAGTTGTTCTTAATGCATGTGTGACACCTTCAATACTGTCAACAATGGGGCAGGCAAAGTCATAGGTGGGATAAACCCTGAGAATAAAGACTTTCAATTAGCAGGGCAGAAGAACAAAACATTTTCCTCACATATAAATATTTAAACTAAGCATTATTTATATTTTTATATTATAAATATTTATGATTTATGATCCTGAAAAGTTTCATATCAAGAATAAAATAGCACATACAGAACAAATTGTCTATAAAAAGATCAATACATTTTTAAAACAAAGTCTTCAAAACTAAAAAAAGAAATCCTACACTGCTAGTGTTCTTTTCAAACACATAAAATGCTGACTTATAGGGTTTTTTCCACTTAAATATCAAAAAGAATAATTAGTTGATTGAATAATGCACAAAGCTTTCATGTTTAAAAACAAAGCCCTACCCACAGACGCAGCTTCATACTGTTATACACACATTAAATCAATGTTTCCAAAAAGGGAATTGTATAGCTGGAAACAAAGGTTTCAAATAAGCACTGAAGCATAGCCTTGAACAATTGGGTAGGCTTACTTCAATGCACAATGTAGTAATTCTTCATTCTGCGCAAAGACAGCAGTTGCTGTGAAAATGGAATCAGCCACTCAGGTAAGTAGACCAAGAATGTTTTGCAGCAATATAAAAATGCAGCAATGTAAAATTGCCATGGTTCTGTTTAAGCTCCAAGAACTAAAGCAAACAGTTTTGTTGTCTAAGATACAGTCATTAAGATTTAATTTATGTTTTGACTCAAAGCTCTTCACTGCAATACAATGTATTTATGGACCAAAACTGAAATAATACTCCTGGCCTTGATGTCCAGCTCACAGGTTTTAAGTCATTTGCATAAGTTTCAGAAAGTCAAGAGACTCAATTACATCTCCTGACTGAAAAATGGTAGCAGGTTCCCAGTATTAAAATAAGTTTACAGGCTACACAAGGAGGAAGCGGACATACTTGTAGGTACTTCCAGTACGTGGGTGAGGCTGGTTTTTACAACGATAAAGAGTTGGATCCCTCATACATCCATTGTTACTACTCATATCTATTTTTGCTCGTAGACAACAAGTTTGTCCATATTCTGTTCCCTTTTTCATTTCTTCCCACATTTGTAGATTCTTATTAACACCTAAGAAAAACATAAATCATTTTCTAAGGTATTATGAAGTTAATATGGAAGCACATTTTATTACAGCAGTATCAAAAAGCAACATCAGTCGTCC